ATATCAAATAAAACTTCAATTTTCGCTTCTTAAGCAGAGGTCAGCAGTCGTTTTCCATCCTGATCATATGCAAGTGTTGAGTATAAGTTTTTTACACACCAAAAATTAGGATGGAAGTGCTTTCTAATTGGGTCTACTCACCGCTTTCAACCATACAGTACCCTCTGATGGAGCTGATGACGAAAGAAGGAGGCATAATATTTATTGTCGGCACACAGAAGGAGCAGGGACAGTCCAGGATACTGTCTGATCCCCTGACCTGTAACCGAAATCGAGACCTAAGGAAACAGCAAACTCAGTTGAATGTGACCCTTAATTATTGTTTCTCTTTATCCATGTTGAGTAGGTAAATACCTTGCATGGCAGGACAAAACACACTCGTAGTAGCTTGTTTACTAGTTAATGAAAAGTTAACGTTCTTGCTATGATTTAAAGCGAATGCACTACATCTTTTTTGAAAATTACAAAGGATTACAGACTCAAGCATCATATTTTGTTCCTGGTTTCCTGAAGTCATAACCATATATGTTTTTTACTTCACCTTGGCTAAACCCACCAGTCATCAGCTTCTGAGCTGAAAGTCGACTTTACAAAAATGTGATTCAAACAGTCTTGATATCACCTCCGCTCGGAAGGCGAAGTCGAGTGTTTCTATGCCTCTTAATTCTAGAGGAAGTAGTTTTTGAATGGAAGAACACGTGCTGCTCACTTCCAGTACATGTATGCCGGACAGCCTCTCTATTAATACTTTTACTTCAATGAGTTGATTTCAGATGGTGTCGGCATTGCTACTATCAACAACGATTAAAGTAGGTAGATGAAGAGGTGTATAGATGGTAGTCGAGCTTTAAAGACAAACCAGCTACAAAAATCCACCCTCTTTTATTTAACATTTAATCTCGTGGAGCTCCTGACTACTTGTTCATAATTTCTGATTCTCTGCAGAGGAACAATGGCCTTAAAGAGTACCTTCATTGTAGCACTATCGAGTGAGCAGCTGCAGCGCGATATCTCAAGATTTCACACTGAAAATAAGGATTTGCGCTGCCAAGTGGATGCCATCAGAGAGGCAATAAACAACGTTGATGTCATGTACAACGCCACAAAGACGGAGCCGTTTGTGAAACGCTACGCAATTCTTAAGGAGGTAATCAAGGATGTTCAGAAATTTGCCGACCCCAATGCTGTCCAAACAGGATAAAATTTACGGCTGTTTTTCCTTTCAACTCTATCGTCTGCCCGTTTTCGCATACAAATGTCCAAAGACTGGTTAAATCTATGACTCTCTTCATACATTCATTTAAGACTAAGTATGCATGCATTTGTAAAGATGTTGCTCTCTGTGTTTATATAAAGTGTTAGTAGACCGAACTCGATCACTCGCTTTCAATGTCTACACTTAAATTTAAGGCGGATATTAACGTACCACAAGATTCTAATATATTTTGCTGTGTGCGTTGGCAAGGCAGGTGGACGTATAAATGAAGTCTCTCACACCTTATTGTAAAATAATCACAAATTGGAAGAAGCATTGAAGATTAAGCAGAGAAACGTGGTGTATTGGAGGTAACACAAGTAAAGTTCTAAACTAGGCTAAATGGGAGTAATTTTTGGGTTTCA